GTGAAAATAAATATATGGTTGAACTGCTTACTCTGGGGTCCAACTCAATTGCTTGAAGAACTAGTTGTTTTTATATAAACACATGGTTGGACAAAACTTGGACCACCCTCTCCGAGGTCTTGACCAACTTTTTCAGAAACAAGTTATCATTAAAAGAAACACATAGTCGGACCGTTTTTTCTAGGGCCGAGTCCAACTACCCGAAAAGCAAAGTCAATCCGAAAATAAACATGTAGCGAAACCGCCCTCTCTGGGGTCTTGTAGTTGTTCAAGAAACCAATTGACTGATAAATAAACATGTAACTGGGGTCCGATTCAACCGAACAGAAAATAATTATTGCAAAATAAAGACACAATAGGACCGCCCTTTTTGAGGTTCAGTCCCACTGCTTTAGAAATAGTCAATTGGAAAGAAATACACAACAAGACTGCCCTCACTGCCCCTTCCCTACTGCGAATACTATTTGGGGGGGGGGTATCTGCCCCCTGCCTAATCCTTCACCCTTAATCCTTTATCATCTACTTAGATCGAGAGTGAAGTAGGCGTTAGTCCAGTAGGTCTCGGTACTAACTATCAAGCAGTAAACAACATGAGAAAACTCTGTTGCCGACATTAGATTAGGTCTTTTTTTATGCGGAGCTAATTCCAGCTAGTGTTTCATGGTAGGGATTCAAGACCAAGTGCCGCTTCATTGTAAAAATTTGAAACAACCAGTACGCCTCCCAACCATTTCTTTTCTTTAACGAGACATGCATGCAGCCACAAGTTTCAATATTCTACGTACTGAAGCAAAATGGTTGGCGGCGCTAACCACGAGAAGGCCTGTATCAGATTGTTTTTTTTTTATGCATAGTGGGTTCCAAGGCTTAGCAAGGGATGGGTAAAAAATATTGGTGGTTTGAATTGGGCTGGACCACCCAGAATGTTTTTTGTCGTTCGGCAACCATACCTTCAATTGCCCGACCATATGGTCAGGGCCTATAGTAATTTTGATTTGCCTTTGGTCGATCGCCGCAGTGGCACGTGACAGTATGAGTTGTATCTAGAACCGGTTTCCTGTTGAACATGTGTACCGCCTGACGACACTCGGATGGAGGGCATTTGACTATCATATATGTGACATTCACAAATGCGAACAAATACCCTTGCAAGGGTATTTGCTCCAACAGTGCATGTAGTGGACATGGAGGCCCAAAGGTGGGTAAGGAGAGTTGCAAGCGAAAGCGGGTGATGGAGTCACTTATATCCCATGAAATGCAGCACATCCATAGATCCCAAGGCTGGGCCTCTGTGTGGATTTCTGCCAATACTGGTCTCCCAGTGTGAACATAAACCTCTACTTTGGCTCGCTTGTTACTGCGTAGAATAAGGATTAGGCCGTACTCCTAATCCTACGAGTACAGTAAAGGAAAGTGGCCAGGTACCACCCCATTCTATGATTTTTTTGTGTAACCGCCCGCTGATTGAGCACTCGGTCGACGCTCAAATTTTTTAGCACCGCTCAATCCCGCGTTGAAAGCACGCTTAAGCGGCGTTTGAGCGGGTGCAGGAATATTGTTTTCTTGGATAAAATATAAGCAAAAAAGAAAGAAGTAAAAAAAAAAAAAGATTTGTAGATCTTTTTTAGACCTACAAGTTCTACAACCCTATATTTTTTACTTTATTTTTTGAAGTTTTTTTATATATGAAAAAATAAAAAACATAAAAAAAAAAAGATGAAATGGGTGGCTTTTTTTTTTCTTGACAAAGATTTTTTTCGCGGGCAAACAAAAATAAATATAGGGTTGTAGTCTTGTAGATCTTTTAGAGATCTGGAACGCCATTTTTTATAATGTTTTTTTATAAGTTCGTATGCATTTTGTTAAAATACAAAACATAAAAACCAGAAAAAAAGATAAACACAGACGCCCCCCCCCCCCCCCCCCCCCCCCCCCCCACACACACACACGCAGACACACATGCACACACACACATGCACACACGCACACACACAGGCACACACACACAGACACATGCACACACACACACACAAACACAAACACAAACACGCACACGAACACACACACGCACACACGCACACACACACACACACATGCACACACACACGTACACGCACATGCACACGCACACACACACGCACACGCACACACACACACACACATACACGGAGAGAGAGAGAGAGAGAGAGAGAGAGAGAGAGAGAGAGAGAGAGAGAGAGAGAGAGAGAGAGAGAGCCAAAACAACCTTCGAACCCCCTCAACTGGCCAACCAAATGCCCCAAAAAACCATGCTCCCCCAATTTATTTATTTTTTCCGCGCAATCCCCCTCACGTGTTTCTCTCCATGTGTGCGCCCCCGCCTGGTGTGCATGCTCATTTTTTGGCATGCGTGCGCGCCCGAAAAACGATTGAGTGCGTTTGAGCACGCGCTTAAGCATACTCAAACGGTTACAAAGGGACTTTTTACCTTTCGTTGGTACTATTCATGTTATTTGTCAGAGTTTTCAGTGGCAACATGCCTTCTCTTTGACGTTCCGTTTGATGGTCTCCTCCTGTAACTCAATAGTGGTGTTTAGGCTTATTTTTAATAATCCTGGGCCATGTGGTTTCACCTGGTGGTAGAGGTTTTAGATGGAGGGAGTTTTTCGCTTTTGAGGGCGCTAATCGTTTTCTAGGATATATATATTTGTTGTCCTCTTCTCCCTCTCTGCCTACGGTTTACCAGGCAGTTCTGTTTGACTTATATATATGTTATATTATATTATATATATTATATATTATATATATATTATATAATATATATATTATATAATACTTTGATTTTGGTTAAGGTAGATTATCATTTACAGTGTAATCAGTGAGGGGATTCTGCAGACTGTTGAGGGTTCAGCCTCCTGATGAGTCGGTGAAACTCCGACGAAACAGTTTGTCACAGCCCCTCGTTTGTTATCCTCTTCTCTCTCTCTGCCTACGGTTTACCGGGCAGTTATGTTTGTGACGATATATATATAAGAGCATAAGAAAAGATTCAAGAATGAGTTTGTCCTTGATGATAGAGAGGACATACATTGTAAGCATGACGTGGATGAACACATGGAAGACCTAGCTGAGCATTCTCAGTGCAACAATTGCCACGACGGGTGGCATTGAGCATGCCGCCATACGCCCCCGGCAAATGGCATGTCGATTGCAAGCCAAGAGGAAATAAGAACGGTCACCACAAAAGAGATGTGTAACCGGTTGAACGCCGTGAACGCGCGTTCGCGTTCAAATGTGCGTTTGAATGCGGATTGCGCGTTCACGTTCAAAATTGAACGACGTTCAATTATTTTTTTATTTAAAAAAAAAAATCATTTTAATGCCTTAAAATAATTTTTTTTTTCTGATGTTTTTTTATGAGTTTTGTATGATGTGAGGTACATGCCTCTCAATTTTGGAGTTATTTTGCTAAGGCAAAAAAAAAAAAAAAATCGCCAAAGATGGCGGTGTCAAATCGTGTTCGCTCACTAATTTCAATTTTTTTTTTACTTTTTTTTATTTTCTTTTTTCTATTTTTTTTTCCAATTTGGTAACGAATTTAGATGCAATGCTCAGACAAATGTTGTTTATTTTATTTTTTTCATAACATAGTTTTTTTTTCGAAATTTTTTGAGGTTTTTTTTTTTTTTTTTTTTTTTTCCCCGTGCGGAATTGAACTCCGCGTTCGGTCCCGTTCATTGAACGCGCGTGCATTCCGTTCAATTTCTGAACGGAAAACCCGCGTTGAATGAACGTGCGGTTTCACAGCAAAAGAGCATGCATTTGGGGAAGATCAACATCAAGCTGAAGGGCGATTGCAAGAAAGTGTAATGGTGTATAAAACAGGCGATGGAGAAATTCAATGTGAAGACAGATATTAGTTGCCGTCAAACCACAGAGATTGGTGAGGTTCTCAGGCTAGTTTGTTGGATGCTGGCCAACAATTTGTAGATCACCCAGATCGTGCTGCAAGCCCAAACTGTGTTGGGTTGTTTGCTGGTCAGTCATTTGCAGATTACCCATGTGGTCTGTGTGTGGCGGAGCTTAACCATTGCTGTCCTACAAGTAGCAATGAGGGACCGTCAGCTTGAACTACGCAATGCTCGAGCAGGTGAGTGGTTTAATCCTCTATCCCACATCTCTGTCTGCATTGTGCACGGCCCTGGGCATTACATGGCCATTGTACATGCCTCTGACCACTGGGAGTTGTGGGACAACGGCACCATGGTCCATGCCATGATTGATGTCATTGATTTCTTACAAAATGATGTTTTTTTCTTGCCAAAACAAACCATCTGCAATCTCTTTTATGTCGAAGATCATTCCTCTGGCTCCGTGCTGCAGCAAGACAATGTACCAACACTCTGGGACCTTCTCCTTTGCACAACCACAAACACTGTTACACTCGGTTGTAACCGCCATCGTCTCTGTCACAATCACTACAATGACATGGTTTCTGCATCCATGTGTGCAGAGGAATGTCCCACCGTTCCTGACTGCAAACACCCTCCGCATCCGGACACTATATTTCCATTTTGCGGCCACGGGCGCTATACTGAATGCATGTTTTTTTGTGGTGACCGTTCTTCTTTCATTTTGGCCTGCAATTGACATGCCATTTGTCGGGGGTGTATGGCGAGCATGCTCGATGATGGCACGCTTTGAAAACAAATTATCAGTATTCCAGTGAGAACGAATGCTGGCCCAGAAATTTCTAATCTAACGCTGTATTGGGATGAAGCACACTTTGTTGATGACATTCGTCAACATGATCTTCAAGCTGCTCAGCAATATGGCTTCACCTATCGCCTCATTGATGATGTTATTTCATGGGGACATTTACCTCCTCCACCAGAACACTATGGGCTGGAGTGGAAGGAGACTACAACTACAGACAACTCTTGTACCTTTTTAGGTATGCAGCTACGGGTCCGTTTTGATGGCTTGCTTCCCATGAGCGTCTTTGATAAAGCGGCTGCTTGGGATTTCCCTGTCATTCATTATCCAGGTGCGACCTCCAACATTCCTTCCCATCAACCGGACGATGTGTTCACTGGGCAATTGACCAGATTTGAACAAATATGTAACAATTGGCAAGACTTTCGAACTGCGGCAACAATACTTACTCGTCGTATGCTTTCGTGTGGGCATTCCCAACCAACCCTTGCTAAGGGGTGGACATGCTACATGCGCTCCCGCCAACGTCACTATCCTACACATGTGACGCGTCTCTCTCTGTGGTTCCGACGCATGTTGCGATGGTCCTTGTATCATCCAATTTCTTCTTCACCCCCACGACGCTCTCGTACTGCCCCTGCTTACTCATCTGCTGCTACCGCAGTTTCCACTGCTGCAGTCTCCACTCCTGCAGTTTCCACTGTTGGTGTCTCCACTCCTGCAGTTTTCACTGCTGCAGTGTCCACTGTTGTGGTTTCCACTGCTACAGTGTCCACTACTGCAGTTTCCACTGCTCCAGTTTCCATTGCTGCAGTGTCCACTGTTGCGGTTTCCACTGTTGCGGTTTCCACTGCTGCAGTCTCCATTGCTCCAGTTTCCACTGCTCCAGTTTCCACTGCTACAGTTTCCACTGCTGCAGTTTCTACTGTTGCGGTTTTCACTGCTGCAGTTTTCAGTACAACAATTTCCCTAACTATAATTCCCCCTACTTTAGTTTTTACTGCTACAGCATCCTGTCTTGCAGCTCCAATGCAAAGAACATCACAATCTCTCCGACGCTCATATCCTTTGCTCCGAAATCTTGCCCAATGCACCCCCCTCTCATCTTTGTCTGTGCTTGGCCGTAGACGACTGCGTTCCTCCTCACCACCCCCATCTCCTCCACGGTCTCGCTTGCGAACAGACTCTCCAGTTTCCATTGTCCCCATTGTTCCACCTGCGTTGCTAGGTACGAGTTCAACTTCTGTTTGCAACACCGCTACTCCTCTTGTTGTGTATCACCGACGATATTCGCGACATCGTCACTTGTCCGGGGATCAGCAACCTGTTTCTTTGTCTGCCCCGATTCTCTTTGTGCCTCCTCCACAGGTTGTTGCGGTTCCTTTGTTTCAAACGGCAATATCCGCTCCTATGACTCCTGCAGACAGTCCCTCTGCCGGCAGGCAGCCACCAATCCCTACTCAGGATGCAGCCGCTGCCCAGAGTACACTCCCGACTCCAGGTATAGTCCCTACTCAAGGTGCAACCCTAAACGTTGAGGGATTGGAACATGATCTGCCCGGATCGCATTTGACCCCACAAGGCGTAGACCACATGGGGGATCTGCAAATGGCTGACCAACATTGTGCGGATGAAACACAATTTTGTGCTCCGCCACACGCAGACCACATGGGTGATCTGCAAATGACTGACCAGCAAACAACCCAACACAGTTTGGGCTTGCAACACTATCTAGGTGATCTGCAAATTGTTGGCCAACATCCTACAAACCAGCCTGAGAACCCCACCAATCTCTGTGGTTTGACAACAACTAATATTTGTCTTCACATTCTCCGTCGCCCGTTTTATACACCATCAGACTTCCTTGCAATTGCCTTTTAACTTCATGCTGATCTTCCCCAACGACTGCCAGAGGATTGCAATTGTACCAACAAAGGAGGCTTTACCAGTGTTGTCCTACAAGTAGCAATGAGGGACCGTTAACTTGAACTACGCAATGCTCGAGCACGTGAGTGGTTTAATCCTCCATCCCACATCTCTGCCTGCATTGTGCACGGTCCTGGCCATTACATGGCCATTGTACATGCCTCTGACCACTGGGAGCTGTGGGACAACGGCACCATGGTCCATGCCATGATTGATGTCACCGATTTCTTACAAAATCATGTTGTTTTCTTGCCACAACAAACCGTCCGCAATCTCTTCTATGTCGAAGATCATTCCTCTGGGCCCGTGGTGCAGCAGGACAATGCACCAACACTTTGCGACCTTCTCCTTTGCACAACCACAAACATTGTTACACTCGGTTGTAGCCGCCATCGTCTCTGTCACAATCACTACAATGACATGGTTTCTGTATCCATGTGTGCAGAGGACTGTCCCACCGTTCCTGACTGCAGGCACCCTCCGCATCCGGACACTATATGTCCATTTTGCGGCCATGGGCGCTATACTGAATGCATGCTCTTTTGTGGTGACCGTTCTTATTTCATTTTGGCCTGCAATCAACATGCCATTTGTCGGGGGTGTATGGCGGGCATGCTCAATGCCACCCGTCGTGGCAATTGTTGCACTGAGAATGCTCAGCTAGGTCTTCCATGTGTTCATCCACGTCATCCGTACAATGTATGTCCTCTCTGTCATCAAGGACAGACTCATTCTTGAGCCTTTTCTTATGCTCTTTTGCCTTCATCTTCACTCCACACTCCATACTTTCCCTTACTTTCCCTTTAGCGTTCTTTGTTTGTCTTCTCTCCATCTCTCCTCCCTGTGTTTATCCCCTCCCCCTTCACTCTGCCTCTTTCTCACAGCGTACAAGTGGGCTGTTATGGCACATGGGGATGGGGGCAGCTCGCGCTCAACTTCATCAATGTGGCGAGCCTTGTACGTGAGAGGCACGGTGAAAGGGGAGTCAAAAGAAGAACGAGTAAAATGAATCGTTTCACTGTGCCCTTCACGTTTTTCTGTTTTTTTT